AATCTTTTGCGGAATCCCATGGTTATTCACGAGCGTGGTCGCTCTGGACCAGAGGAACAGATTTCACAAAGTATAGGATAGCGTGTACGACAACAAGGAAGTCAGAGAGAAGGTAAAGATGGGGGAAGGCAAGCAAGCAGGCATGAGTTGAGTCACTTCGGGTGCTTGAGCCAGAGGAACGCCGCATGGTTTCAGCAAGGCGAGAAGGGCACTGAAGATTGGAGAGGTCTAAGGATAGTTCAACTATCTTGCATAGCTCTCAGATGCGGAGATAAGATTAGGTTCGTGAGAGAGGGGATGAGCAACACTGGCGAAGTCTCAGAGTAGTACGACAGTACAATCCATAGGAGCCAGAGATACGAGGGTTGATAGGAGCGCAGTCATTCTGTATATGTTGACCGACTCTTGAGTTGAAGAGAGCCATGGTCGTTTGGGGAGGGAACGGTTAACGTGATTCCGCTCACGAGTAGACAATTACACACGCATGCGCAATGCGAAGCAGCTCGATGATGTACCCAGAGTAAAGGCCGGGACGCGAAGGTTTGCTGTGACCAAAGTGAGGAAGCCGTTCGCAGCGGCTCCTCTCTCCCGGTTTACCTCCGACTTGCACCGGCTTCACCAAAGCTTCGCTGCGCCCACCCTGCAGCAATCCGGGTCGCTTTCAATTCTCCTTTCTTGCTTCCTGTCTCTGTAGCAACCCACGCATCACAGCCCTCTCGTCCCGAATGCGCCGTAGAGGTTGCAACCCGCCGTGGAGTGCCCGCGGCTACCGTCGGTCCACCGGTTGCCTCTCGACGCTACCACTTGCCTCAAGTCGGCCTACGCGAATACAACGCGTTCGAGTTCACCACCAGAATGCTCATTCACGCGGCGACAGTTCGCGTGGACGACCCTAAACCGAGCGCTAGGTCTTATCGCCTCCCCGGCGCGGCTACATCAAAGCCCGGCTGCTGAGGATGATGGAGCATTCGTCTCGTTGCCAGATGGAAAGGAGTGTGCAAGGCATAGAAAGGTCTTTGAAAATTGATGTGTGGGATCCGGGATATGGGAAACATCGTGTCCTCGCCCGTGGTGGGCAACTACGTGCGTTCGCGCCTTTCCGCCCATTTATCGTGTTTTCAGGCTTAACCGATGCATTTACAGCGGAAATGCCACTTCCCTGAAGGTAGATGCACTCCCGAAGTTCACGTCGCAGGCAACATTCCTGGGGCACGTCCCGCATCATCAACCCAGCTACCGTCGGCTCGCGCTTGTACACGAGGGAATGCCCGTACACTGCGTTTGCGACCGTCGGCCTACCTCTTTGTACGTCATTATTTCTTCCCTGAAAGCCTGCATCTCGTTCATTGTGTTTCGTTCACGCAGGAACCACGGAAGCTGTCGCGAACCGTGCCATCAAGCCGCAATACTCGTGCAATGCAACAGCTTCTCCTCTCTTGCATCATTGCGCGTCGTATTCTCTCCCGCTGCCTCCCAAGATGTCGAGAAATCCTCGTCGACGCAATAATCATACCTGATTTCAGCACGGTCTCACAATCAAGCCCAGTCATGTCCGGGTGCACGACGGGCCCATCATCGTCTACCGCAGCTTCTCCGTCATAAGACGCACGAGCTCCTCTGCGGCCGATGCCCTCGGCGTCTAAGCTGTCTACGCTGTCCACCGGTAGGAGGTATCAACGCAGGACGATGCGGCGCTAGCACTCCACCGCGACGCAAAGTTGTGGACCTCGCCCTTGTGCTCGTCACATCCGCTCAGGACGCATTCTTTGCGATATCGTACTGTCCCGCTGACACGTTGCGCGGAGACCGACCAGGGCTCTCACCAGACAACGCAGGCAATGCTCTTCTGCAGGATCGCCCGCGCGAGCCTGCCTGGTTTGTGCACTACAACATCACCTTGACGGCAGGCACGTCGACGAGTCGGCATCTGCCCGCGTCGCGAACTTCAGCATGACGCGCCGCATCGGTGAGGCAGGCGAGGACGAGGAGAATGCGATGCCGATTTCGCAGTCAAGAAGCTGCAGCCATGGCGCCACCACCGCTACGCGTGTCATGAAGGAAGATCACGCTTCCTCTAGGTATCTTCCCTACGGTCGTGCGACTCAGCTCAGCAGCCCGCGATACTAGGAGAAGCGACAGACTCGGACGTTCGTTCAGCGCTGCCCAGGCTGATGACGGCGCCACTCGATCCAGACCAGGGGACATCCGGTCTTTTATCCTTATCCCCGAGCGCCGGCGCCAGCTACCTCTTCTCTTCAGTTCGCACCAGATTCGATCACGCTCTCCCCGGCGATCGTCTATAGCCTGCGCCATTTGTATAGGTCCGTCAGGCTCGTACACCATGACATGAGGTTCGTGCATGTGTTCATCAACGAACCGGACATTTGTGTCGTCGGCAATGATGTTGAGGAGGCAGTTCAAGCGAACTCTGCGAGCGACATGCAACAGCCATAACTCTCGCGGCAACGCTCTCGGCTCATGACGTCCAACCCGCTCCCGTTCTCCGTCGCGCTGCACCCCTCCCCACAGTAGGAGTCAAGATCGCTGCCGTACGCAGCACTGAGCTGCTGATCCGAACGCACGCACGCTCTATGCTGCTGCAGCACAAGACATACAATCCTACGCGCATCGTGGCTCGACTACCGTCCATGGTTGAAGATGACGGCTCTGCTTGGGTATTTTTCTCCTGTTGGACGCAAATCAGTGCACAGACCTCAACCTTGCGGACTTGTACGAGCGCCACCCGTCCATCAAAGCCGGAGCCCGTCGCGCCAGTGCCGGTTGATTCAACCGCGACGTCAACCGGCCATGGAGATGAGCGATGGTGGACGATGTTGTGCTGGACATCGGGTCGGATCTTCCCCAGTAAGCTAATGGCTCGAATCTGCTGGTACGCAACTCAAGCCTCCGATAGAAGGTCGCGGCAGGATCGCGACGCTCTTCACCTGCATCGCGCCAGATGGCACCGATGAACTCGTTTGCACCACACCCAATGTTGAGGCGGTTGCGATGGCGACTGGCAGCGCTGCAGAGGCATCTGTGGGACGCTGCGATTGCCGAGAGCCTCGGTGTTTAAAGCGGCTCAAGCTGGGCGCACTTGCCCTGGGGGGATCGAACATGTTCATCGGGACCACACTGCACGACCGCTGGGTCCTGTGTGTCTTGACGCATGGAGACGCGGGCCCTTGTACCTAGATACGGAGACTTGAAGATCGGCCATGAGCAATTATATCGACAGAACGCAAAGTCGCGGACGACCAGGATGTTTATTGCCCGATAAGCTGCTGTGGGTGTATAATATCCTATATGTGAAGATCGAAAGGCATCGTGCGTTCCGCCCCGATGGGCACCAACTAATCCTGCTTGATGTCATGACTACGGCGCCGATTCCCGGGAGTCAAGAGACAGACCTGATGTCTAGATTTGCGAACTTGTCCCTTGTTTCAGCATCGCCGTCGCCATGTAGTGACGACTCTTGCAGGATGAGCCGACCATGCGCAGTGCTGTATCGCACCGTGAAAAACATCAATCGACCTCGATCGAATTTCACAGGATGGTGAACTCACATAGGTAGGTGTACTCCAGGCAGTAACGTACCCGTGAGGCTTCGTCTCAATGAAGGGTGTACGATCAAAGATCGTCTATCTTGTGGTGAGTCGACAGCCGTGTAGGACGACGGCGCGACCGACCAACAAGTAACTATAAGGACGGCTATCAGCCATTATTGGTAATGAACGGGTTGCTGGACCCTCATCAATGCCATTCACGAGCCCTGACGAACGCCCCGTATTCACAACGCTCGATCAACACCGCCTCGCCCTCTTCCGCCCCGACTAGCGGATCCACCTCCTGACAGCACCAGAACGGCGAAGACCTCGAAGCTCTCGACGATCCTCTTCCGGTTCTCACTCCCGGGTTCTTTGCACATCATGCGAAGACCGGAGCTGAGTCGCGGCACTTCTTTCTGATGCACGCAATCCTGAATCCCCCACCGTCGTTGGCACTCGAGGAGCAGAGCCCGCCGGTGCCGAGCAGTCCATACTTTCGTCCTCGGCGCATCAGCGCTGCGCACACCGGCATGCGGTCGAGCGCTCGGATTCGTCACAGGAGCCAAAGGCGACGAAGGGCGACTTGACGACATCGCGCAACTCGGGTCCTATTCAGGTGAGGATCAGTCTCGGCGAAGAAAAAGAGGAGCGGACGCGGCGAAGAAGAACCGGAACATACCTTTGAAAGGCGCCTGCGTCGTCGACAAAGCCCTAAGATCGATCCTGCCCTGATTCGGGTCGGTGTCTACCCTCGAAGATGCATAGCAGCGCGTAAATGACGACGTCGAACCAATTGTGGAAGTGATGCGACTGTAGACACGACATCAGTCTGACACAATTCTCATGCTTCGGTGAGACGGTGCGGACCTTTGGAAATAGCGCCGGTTCGCGGTGGGATGGATTTACGCTGGCGTCGACCATAGACACGAGCGATCATGGGTCGTTGTGCTTCCGATGATGACGCACGCCGTCCGGAGGAGCGATTGAGGCTGGCCGAGGGGGTGTGAAGGAACGGTATGCGGAGCTTCGAGATGTGCGATACCTGGAACGAATGTATGCGCGTATGAGCGTCAACCGTGATCCATAGATGTTATGTAGATGAGAGAGCGGGTTCGTGCAGCAGGGATTCGTGAGCACGGGAGCGAGAGCACGAAGGTGACGAACGACGGGGAGACGATGCGGACGCGTACGCACCTCAGTTATCCATCCGGGAAGTCGCAGAGCATTCAAGACCCGGATAGGCAGGCCGATACGATCTTCGTAGGGTTCGTCGAGGGCGGTGATGGTGAAAAGAGGCCGAGGTAGAGTAAAGCCAAGCCAGTGCGTTCGTCGTGAAGCCGTCTACGAAGGAGCTGCATATATGCGCGCGTCAGCACACATGAACTTCGGTGCCAAGTATACAGAGGGCGGAGACAAGGAAGGAAAACGTACCGGGGCTGGACGCGCCGGCTGTCAATACTCCTGTTGCTCATTCTGGACGGCATCATCCGTCTCTCGCAAGCTCCGTTCGACAAATGCCTGTCCGGTTCGAGGGTAGGCGTAGTCGTCGCAGTGTTCATGCCCATTCCCTAGCAGATCCGAGCTCGATGTCATCGCTGGACTAGGCGCCTTCGGGCGAAGCGTTTTCGACTCTTCATGTGCAAAGGACGGGCCGCCATGCCGATGGACTATGCTGAGGGTGCTGTAGCATTGGCGGACGACGGGGAGGCGAGATAGCGGCGGCGACGGTGTCATGACGCTGATATTTGTATACGAAGTGGTATGAGGAGGAGGTGCGCGGGAGGGCGAGAAGGCGAGGTGCCCGTGTTCAGAGGCAGACTGTATCGCGTCCGGGGTCCGGGCTTGGCTTTTGTGGCGTAACTTGACTTCGGTGAAGGAGAGGAGAGCGTAAGTACGTCGTTCCCAGGCGATAGGTATGTAGATGAGGCTGCTGGTCTGGGACGGCCCTACGATGGCGACACATGGCGACACGTGCGGGAGATCCGAGGTCGACGCGTTCTTGGGCTCTGGAGGTGTCCTGGACCGAGCAGGAGGGGCATCTGACCTGTTCGGCGCCAAAGCGAGAGGATCCGGACTTCGATGTTCGACTGCAATGGTACGCACTGAGTGACCGAACGGACGTCATCAACTCGCGCAAACTCGAACACTCACGCTACATCAGACATGTAACGTTAGCCATCGACCATTCCTCGGGCCCGTCCTTGTTCCCATATCGCCTAGCGCGAGTCTTCAGTTTGGTCGGCGTACATCTTGGGGTGCGACGGTGGCAGAGAGAGAACGGATCGCGCGTCACTTCACTCTCTCTTCCTTGTTCCTACGACATTTCCAGTTGCGGCGTACTCGCCTTCGTACTCGCCGATCTACACTCGCCTGACAATATAATTCTATCTCTGCTTGTTTTCTCACCTCTCACTCCTTTGTCGCGTGCCTGAAACTCGCCGGAACAGCGCCCCTAGGGCGTCTATGGGACCACTCGCAAAAGCCCCGGCCCGCGCGAAATCATCAAGCTCGGAATTCCATCGACATGCTCAATCGCATCGTGTCGTTTACGGGTGCGACTGCCGAAGCTCCGCTTGTATACTGCTCACCCAGCGGGGTCTCCGGCGTCAGGGTCCCGCGAGAGATCTGAGAGGCCGATGAAGGCCTGCATCAGCTTCGTGTCGGACGATCGACGTTACCTTGTCTGAAGGCCGAACGGGTATACGCAAACAACGCTCTGCGCTCTGCTGGGGCACGCATATCACAATGGGTGGTGCCCCAGATGCTTTCCTTCGCGTTCATCCCGTCCGCTGCTTCGTGTCCTCATACACAAGCAGCCCTCAAACAGGCACTCGAGATGCTGAGGCGATCCATCTGGATGCGCAACGGGCGAGCGAAACCTTCTTCGACCGGGACCGCTGGCGACTCTGTGCATCAAGAACGACCATTCCGGTCCGTGCTGTACGCACGCCGTCAACGCTTTCTTTGTATGTTATACGCCGTTCTTTTCCCTCCGAGCAGTAGCGCACGCCGCTTGTTCTGTATGACTCATCCATCTGCATGACGAAAACCTTGCCTTGCCTTGCCACCCAACCTGTACGCCAGATATCATACCTGCGCGGTCCACGAGCCGACGAAATGTAGCGCGGCGCGAGGCACGGTCAACGACTCCCTGTAGACCCCGTCATGTCCATCGTGATCATCTCTTCCAAAAATCGGCGCCAGGAGACCGCCGGTGCAGCTCGTTGCGGATTTGAAGAAAGGCTGAGATATGGCGGGAGCGATGCGGCGGTGCGCGACGATCTCGTTCATCGGAGATCGAACGACATGCTGATGAGAAATCTGCGGGCAGGGTGGTCGCATGCTGCTCGCAGAGGATTGTTGTTAGAACGGTGGGTATTGCTTGGCGGTCAAGCCGCGTTGCATATCTGAGTCATGTTCGCCATCCTAGATGAGCCCGACACCAGAACTGCGCGCACGCGGACTGTTGCCAGAGCCGTTATCAAGCGCTTCGTCACGAATTCAGCCAAGCACACGGCATCGGTACGCACCTGCTCCTCTCATTGATCCTACCATCCTACATACATTGGAGGACCGTTTTCACGCAGACGATCATCTCATCTCACCACCGCCTCCGCCCTACTCGAAGCGCAGTAATCGAAGCAATCGGAGGTAGCAAAGCATGCCCGGCATGGCCGTGTACGGCTCCACACACCGGCTAGGCCTTCATCAACGGCGATACCTCACCTTTCCCGACGCAACTTCCCGTCCAACAAAACCAACCTCAAGGCGAAGGCAACCTCTCGGGGCGATCACGCGATCGGACGGACGCGAGTCGTGCGCGTATATGCGAGTGGTGGCGGGTAGGTAAGGCGGGTAACATGGGGAGCATGTACGATCGTCGTCGGGCCCGAGGACTACATCAGCAAATGTACTGTACGACAAGTATTTACTACCGAATTTCAATAACAAGGACCATGGTCATCGCCTTGTCTCTCCAGCTAATGACACTATATGCGCTCAACACAAAGTCTGTCCACCCCCGCGCGTCACCAATGCGTGTCAACCATATTCGAGAACTCGGCGGCCCTGAAAGGTGAACAACAAGATACCTCCACTCCACGATATCCAACGAACCACTCGCCGGCTCACTCAAGATGTGCCCTCCTCGTAGCACTCGGCCCACTTCTCGCCGTGAGCAAAGCTGCTCAGGTCAAGCGTGGCCACTCCGTCCCAAGGTATCATGATCCGCCTGTTTTGCGGCATGAACAGCATTTCGCGGTTCTGTAGCGGTATCCAGATCAGGCGCCGATTGTCAGGTCCCATGAGCCAGCCATCGTCCTTCAGCGTGAACGAATCCTCGATTTTGAACCGTGACATCTGTTCAGCGCCAGGGACTATGAGCTGAATGTCGGCGAGAGCGTGATCCTCGTTTGGCGAGAACGATGCTGAACGCGGTTGGGTTGAGACAACGCAATCGTCTACTACGCCGGACAGTCGGTGTGAGCGAGATCAAGTTAAACGTTGAGATGACGCACTCCGTGGTCCCTCTACATCGTTACTCTGCCCCGTCAAGCCATCCCAGAACCGGATCGTGCCGTCCGAGCTGTATGATATGATGAATTCGCCATCCGGTGAAAATGCCACTGTTATGACCCGTTTTGTGTGACCGCGAAAAGGCTCGCGGATAGGCTGTCCGGTGGATGCGTCCCAAACGCGAACTGTACGATCCACTCCGCCCGAGGCCACGTAGTGTCCATTTGGCGAGAAAGCGACGGATCTAACACCATGGTCATGGCCACGCCAAGGATCGCAGATCGTCTGTCCCGTGGCGGAGTTCCAGATCCGAATGACGCCACCGCCGTCACCGGACACGAGATAAGCGCCATCGGGCGAAAAGGCAATGCAGTTTACCCAATTGGTGTGCCCCTTTAATGGTGCGCATGCAGTCCGACATCAGGAAACACACCCTCTGGGAATTAGTATCATAAAGGGGGGGGATGTCAAGTAATTACTGGACTATCCATGCAGATAAAGCCATTTTTGGGCCTTTTACAGTATATAGGAACATATAGGAGCTAATAGGAGCACATAAGTACAAAAATGAGGATATCTGGAAGGTCCCCCTGAGCATTTGTCACAAAATGTTCACAAATATGTGGAAATTTATGAACTTTTTGGGCATATTTTGGTGATTTGTAACATCAATCATCTCTTCAATATGATATATTTTGGTTCAAATAACACCAGAAACCTCCAGACTTCATGTCACATCTTGTTAGATGTCTTCAGAATTTGGTCATGTGTACTATCCATTCATCAGGGTATTATAATTACATTGTGCAGGAATCTGTATACATAT